TCCTTCCTCCCCCCCCCCCCTTTCACCCTATTTTCTCGTTCTGCTCAAATTAACGATACACAGCCTCCCAAGGATGACTCGGTTACCCGGAAATCTAATGGCCCTATATCGGAGCAGTTTGAGTGGTGGGGGAAAAAAAATTTTTTTTTACCCCCCCCTTGGGATATTTATTTTTGTACCTCATCCCCTTTAATTTAATACGAACGAAGGTCTCCTTGATCTACGTCCCCACGTCACTTCCGTCTGGGGAGTCCTCGTGACGCGTCCCGTGGGATTCCGGAACACAGGTACCGTTGACCGTAAAAATTTCACGATACCCCGAACGAGCCTGGAATAACGAGGAAGCCCGCAGAGTTCTAGGATTTTTGTTGCCAAAGAGCCAAAAGATATTCGAAATTTTTATGGATTACGTTTCTCTCCTCGATATTCCCGCGAGACGCGTCACGATGCCCCATGAAGTATACATTCTGCAGGGGAGTGCGTTGTTATAAAAAAATATGTATCTGTATACACATAGCTTGTACGGTACGTATAGGTACTTGGCTCGTGTTCGTAAAAAGAGCGTATTTTGCCCCCGCGTCAGAGAGTGACGTGGACATTTTATACTCCGGGTGAAATTCGACGTTACCATTTTGTCTGCCGTATATCTCCATGCTGTACGCTGGCTATACGTAGGGGTCAGGTAGGTTAGGTACGGCTGTTGGGGGGTGGATAGTGGGTCTCGTAAACGTCCTCGAAATGTCACGCACTCCACGTTTTACCCACGTTACTCCTGGCCGTACAGATATAGCACGGGTCCAGGACCAATCGGAGTCAATTTGTTTTCACCGGACGAGCGCAGCAGCCCTGGAGGCGGTTTGGGGTACGGGCGCGTCACGTGGGGGGGGATTAAAAGAAAATAAGCATGACCTGGGCCAAACGCTTAGGCGTGACCTGGGTCGAGCTAGCGTTTTACTCGGTACGGAGGCCCGGTGGGGTTTATGGGTCCTTCGTACGTCCCGGGGAAGACGTCGAGGGGGAACGTGGAATCGGGAGGAGGAAGGAATACGTCGTGGATGCTGGACAATACCTGCGCAATCTCCTGGGTCACGTGACCAGCCCCCGTCGGCCTTTAGTCACGTTTGATAATTGCGAACGGGATATCGAGCCTCGAGCACCGGGAAACCGCGAATCGTCTTCAGCTTGACTTTCTTTTTCTTCGTTTTACTCTGCGTATAAGTCTGTCCTTTTTTATCTCTTTTTCTATCGTATCCGTATCCCACTTTTATCGGTACCCACGAGAGACCATCTTTTTGTCATCCGGATGACGTTTGGGAAAATTTATTAAAGAGCATTTTGGGATTTGGACACGAATTTATTTTCAGTTATATATTTTATGTATATACGTGTATATATGCATGGATAAACAACGCATGGGCGTTCACCGCTGTGTATGGCTTTCATTTAATTTTTCTTTTCCTTGTCTCTCTTTATTACTCGGACAACCGAAGATACTCGTAAAGCTGTAGTCGAGTTTGTAAGGAGCTTCGGAACGCGACTGTACACCCTTATCCTTAGTGATTGTAGGACTAATTCCTTTTTTTTTTTTTAACACGCAGCCCGCCACCTGCGACCTTTTGTGACGCGCCGAGGGTTCCCGGGGTACGTTGGCTTGAGAATTTTCGTGTTAGCCTACCTGCCAGCATAGAGTCTCACGTAGATAGACGAGGCCATTGTTCCATTGAGAGCGTCAGCGCTCTCTGTCGCGTTGACGCGGGATCGTTTCTCCTGGAGGGGATCCTTTTTTTCGTTTCTTTTTTTTCCTTTCTTTCCCCGCCAGGACCCAGGCTTGAAACGGGTACGAGTTCAGATAGCTATCTGGAATTAGAAAACGTCGGTGGGCTTTAAACATCCCATCCGTGAGTTCGTGTCCTGTGAGCTTGACTCCCCTCTATATATATATACCTTATTTCTGGGCGCCATACGTCACTCGTAAATCTCCTTAATATGTAAAGTACTGTTAGGGGTCGTATATCGGCTCGAGAAGTAACGGCTGCTGGTTGTGTGTTAACGGGTCGTGTGTGGCGAAAAAAAAGAAACAAAAAAAAAAACGTCTACCGTTATTATTGTTTCCATGTGATTTTCTTCGAGCGATCTGACAAGGATG